AGCCACCCTTTCCCCTAGCACCCCTATCTCCACAGTCCCTGCATCCATGTGTGCCATTACAGCCAATAAACATTGAAAACTATGACTTTTTTCTTTTTATATGATAAAACAAATGACATTTGTTTTATTATATTAAAAAGTCATGATAGTTTTCGATATTATTTGGCTGCAATATAGAAAAGCTTTTTTCTTTGCTTGTCCATAGTAAACTTACAGCACTTACCAAAAGCACACAAAAAAGTGCTTTAATCACTAATGCCGTCAAACTGTTTTATTTCTTTAAAATGGTTGTTTTCATATGTTTCATTTGTTTAATTTGTATTTCCCTGGTATGAGGTCAAATTTATATCTGTCGATTATATCAGTGCCAGATCTCTCTACGCAGTAATTATAAAAACTTGGCGAGAGCCTGAACCCTTGTTTTTTCAAAGTTAAAGCTTTCTAAAAAAAATAAGGGAAGTTGTTTAAACTAGAAAAAAAAGGTGGGGTGAATTGGTTTTCCAAGAGTATGAAGATTGATTTGATGTAGGTCTGTTGGTTTTTGTCAGGGCCCGATTGTACGAAGCTGGGATAGTGCTATCCAATGGATATATCTTATCCWRTGGATAARTTTATTGGAAAACARCAGCATCACCTTATCCACTGGATAAGGATTATCTGCCGGATAGCRCTATCCAGGCTTTGTACAATAATGGGCCCATGTCCACTTAAGCAATCATGGTCTTTAGGAGTAAAAAAATAAGTGTCACACTTCAATGAATGCACACAGCTTTGTGGATTTTCATCAGTTTTAATAAATAAATATTTATTGTTATTATTAAAAATATACTAAAAGTAAGCAACAAAATAAAAATTGAACTTTTGTATATCCTACTCAGATTACTGCCAAACTCCTAGAAGCTGAGAAACGAAAGCTTACTCAGTTACAGCAGTTTCAGACTGAGCTGGAAGACGATAAAAATGTTGGTGTTGACAGGGTAAGTTGGGTGTACAGGAATTTGATAATATCTGATAAAAAAGGGGTCCCTTTTCCTTTCGCAATTTTTACCCATTCAACCCCCACACCCCTTCCCCCCTCCCCCACACCCCACACCCCCAAGTCAGCAGATACTTCCCAACAATATGACCAACCCTTGTGTAAATAATTTTCTTAACAAAATGTGCATTAATTTAATGCCATTAGTGTGTATTCACCCTCTTCCTAATATCAAATAGGCCTATAATAAGGTCATTTTAACACTAAACTGTTCACACATAGCTGAAGTTTTTCAAATAATCTATTTCTTGTAACAGACAGCAGAAGTGCAGAGGCAAAAAGCAAACTATGCGTAAGTCAAAAGCTACTTAATTTATGTAATTTCCTTTAGAACTCTTTAATACAGATACTGTGTAGTTGTTTGTGAGAAGAGATTTTAATTCCACTGAGAAAACTGCTGCAACAGTGATTGGTTCGCTGTTGTTTGGGTAATGAAACCATGGTGCTCTAATATCGATATTAACATAAAAATTTAACCCTACAAACGGCAGCAATTTACACCTATTAACTTTAGGATACCCTACCTTCATGTAGATGGTGCCTAACTATTAAATTTCTTTAATTTATTATAGACGTCTTTCTTCACAATATAATCGTCTGGCCAAGGAATATGAAGATGCAGCAAGAGGATTGCTAAGAAAGTCCACAAAGCAGAAGAAGGTTTCTTGGCACATTTGTCCATGCGTCCATCCGTCCATCCATCCATCCATCCATCCATCCATCCATCCATCCATTCATTTCATCTGCTATCCATCAATCAATCCATCTGTGGGCCCATTCATTAATCCATTTATACATTCATTCATTGATTTGTTCATCTTCTTTTTCCAGTCTTCCAGAAGTCTTCCATCTCTTGGATTCAAACAGACAATCAAAGCACGGGTAAGTAAAAAAATCAAAATATCCTTGTCACTTAAAACTTGATGTGGATACTCTGCTTTCAAATCAAAACTGTTACAATAAACACAAGATATAATCTCAATTTATTTAGCAAATATTTTTCAGCCCACCATATTTGGCAATATCGTACAGGAAGCAGTTCCAGCAGATGAAACTAAGAAGGTATTTTATTGCTGGGAATGTCAAAGTAGGCTCAATCTTGTATCATTGAAATTAGCTGACTAAAACAATGAATCATTAGTAAAAAAAATCTACAAAGATTTTCGCTGTTGTATCACAGAGTGGGACAATCACAACAGCTAGGCTCCAAACTAAGTGAAAGGCCAGAGATCGAATTAGAATTTAGAAGTTGATTTTTGAGGAGCAAGGAAAACCAGAGAACCCAGAAAACCCTCGAAGCACAGGAGAGAACCAACAAACAACTCTACTCACATACAGTATTGAGATTGCAGGACTCGAACTCGGGCCACATTAGGTGAGAGGCGGCGCATTAGCAGCACACGCCACCGGTGCTTCGAATCCCTGTAGCTTTACTGGTACTTGCTAATTATTAAAACCAATAGACAATGTGGTGTGACAATGTTTTCCCACTTGAACATGACAAACCTCTAGGGGAATGAACCACTGTTGCTTTGAAACTTGTAGGGATATTGTTATTCCTTTCATATCCTTTGGGATGCTCATTTATCGGAGAGTAAAAACAAAAGAAAATGAATCCTCTGGAGGTTTGTCATGCTGAATTGGGAAAACATTGTCAAACCACGACTAAGGTCTATTTGCACAAATTAGTGAGTTCAGTATAGACCTCAATAGAAAGTAGTTATTGTAGAATGATAAGTTATACACCGTAGTGAAAATAGTAACTGACGTTTCGGACGTTAGTCCTTCGTCGGAGTCAATAGAAAGTAGTCTCCTTGGCAGCTAGCCATTCTTAGTGTCTGTTAGAAAATCCCTTTTCGGACTGACAATAAGAACGRCTGCAAAGGGAAAAAGAAATCAAGGGTGTGGCAGCACTCACTTCTTACCCTTGGGGTCTTGGGTTTCATTCCTGGACTCAGCATTACGTGTGAGTAGATTTTGTTGGGTCTATCCCTTGATCCAAGGTTATTTCTCTGGTTTTCCTCATGCAATATTCATTGTGCTAAATTCCAAGTAAATTCTTTTAAGAATTTAAAATTTAACTTAAAAGTTAGCCATGCCCTGACTTAGTTCAGCACAGAGGTTGTTTCAGGGTTCAATCTGAGAGCTAGCCATGCCCTCACTTAGATCACCCCAGCGGTTGTTTCAGGATTCGATMTGTGAGTTAGCCATGCCCTGACTTAGATCAGCCCAGAGGTTGTTTCAGGGTTCGATCTGTGAGTTAGCCATGCATGCCCTGACTTAGATCAGCCCAGAGGTTGTTTCAGAATTTGATCTGTGAGTTAGCCGTGCCCTGACTTAGATCAGTCCAGATGTTGTTTCAGGGTTTGATCTGTGAGTTAGCCATGCCCTGACTTAGATCAGCCCAGAGGTTGTGTTTCAGGGTATGGACAAAATTCTAAGTGCAGGTTTCTTTCTTGTAGGAAGCCAATGGAAACAGATTGCCATTTTTTGGGCCACACCTTGGGCCAATGCAAGGATTAATTGGAGTAAGTTCAGTTATTTTATTTCCTTTTATTTATTTTCTCTCTTTTTTTCTACTTTCACAATCAATGTTTTACTGCTTCGGAAATTGCTGCAACGTTTCCCATTTTYCCCATTTTTCCGCTTTCTCTCCCTCTCCCAACTCTATTTATTTCATTTTTCCCCTTGATTATAGACACGGTTTTAATGGGGCAATAAATGGGACTTTTCTGCATATTAGCTTCTGTTTTCTCCTGTTTCCTATCTTTTCAGTTCCAATTCTTTTCCTCCCTCCTTCCCTCCCTCTGCTTCCTTTTCTTTCTTTCTTTGCGCTGATTTACAGAAACAGTTTAATTAAAAAAATAAAAGTAAAAAAAGAAGAAATTATTAAACTTTTTCTTTCCATTTYTGTCTTTCTACTTCCCACCATTTTTCTCTCCCCCCTCCCCCCGAATTTTTAAACAAAATTTCACGGCGCCAGTAAATTGAAGCATTTCCTCTAAACTTACTAGGAAGTGTGTTACGAGAATGGTCGTCTATTATCTGGTACGTTGGACGCCCTAATCAAGAAACTTGTACCTTTGCCTGACTACTATCCTGATGTAAGTACTATGACTTGGGGCAAACSCGCCACGCCGTGCTGTGCGGTGTGACCATGAGGGTGCAGGGTCCAAACATAGGGCAGTTTTCGTGTGACTGTGAAAACGTCGGTGCCGTATGCGTGCCTTGCGACGACTGTTATGTTTTCTAGAATTTTGATTGAGGGATTTTTTTTTTTCATGCGGAATATGATTGGTCTGACAGTTCCGTGACATTGGCATTACTGTGTCCGCGCCGTGATCAAGCCGTGTTTCGGGCATTTGATTGGATGAAGAGTAAATTCTCGAGCAATCTGATTGGTCTGGCGTATGMCTTGCCGTGTCACGACCGTRTTCGTGCCGTGAGCTTTTCACGGTCATGCAAAAGCTGCTCTAGTGTAAAAGCAGCAATTGCGCGCGCAGTAGAAATGATAGGTTCAAAGAAGCTTAATTTCATACAATAACCCATTGGACGCTAATTTTTTTTTTTTTTT